GTTTCTTGCCATCCTTTTTTTTCTTTCCTGCATGTTTTTTCTGCCACTTTCTTTTGCTGCATTAGCCGGAGCGATCATGATTTTAGTGGGGGGCACGATATTTTAAAGAGGGCTGGGAGGATGATAGTGTAGTTTGTGTTCTGCGCTATAGTTAAATTGCTGCAGCTTGGCATAATAAATGGAACAAGGAGAAAAGTTGATTGTTGTGAAGTCCTTTACACTCTCATTACACCATTGGACCAAACAGGGGGATTGCTTTCATGTCCATAGAAGAGGTAAGCAACAGCGACTGAATACCTAAACTTGGTAAATTTTTATTAGTATTAATTGGATTCTGGCAGTCACCCGCTCAATGATGACCAATGGAATCAATCCCTACGCGGTTCATCTCGGGTTGTTAGCACGGGCGGTCATCTAACGGGCTGCAGCAAGTCGGGAGAGTGGAGGCGACCAATAAATCATGACTTGAAAAGAAAACAAGCTCATTTGAATTACAGCGACGTTCTCAATTGATACGTGATTGTTTACAACAATCCTTTTGGTGAGGGGCTATTTGACACATAAGTTTAAGGACAAGAAATACGCAGTAGAACTATTTGTTCCACTTTCTCACTTTCAATACTGCTTGATGCAGAACCGCGATAGAGGCCTTTCGGTGATCACAGCGAATGGATATTGGGCAATCACTCTCGATTTAATAATTGTCCGAGTCAATCTCAGTGATCTTTGTTGAAGTTTGATGAGGAGCCTACCAACGATATGTGAAGTTGGGCATTTTAAGTTGAGCTCCAAATTGATGGTCTACTTTAAAGTCAGTTTCAGAAAGTGCCCATGAGAAAAAGGAAACAAATTGTGAACTCGTTTTTGAAAGAAAACCCCTATTCACACTACTTTTGACTTTCATTGAGTGTGCCTCGAATTACATACCCAAAGAGTTTAAAAATGGATGGCTGTATGTACACGGAGTCCACCATCCGGTTTTTTTTTATGATTAGTTGTGAGGGAGGAAAACTTAATCACACTGATTAGATCTAGTGGGGGGATTCTTTGTTCCAATAGGAATGAAGAGTTGGCAGCCAAAAGGAATCATGTATTACATTACACTGCTAAAACAGGGACTAATAAGTGCAGGGTCAAAGAGAATGCTGGTAAAAAATGACCTGTGTGGCGTCCAGAGTAACCAGCGGTGCAAAAGCACTAATAGGGGACAGCCAGTGACATATGTACTTCATGAGGGGAGAGATGGAAGTTTGCGGGGCGACCTAGCAACATCATAAACGAGACTGAATAGCATCAGGGGCATATCAATCAGTCGTTTATACTATTATTGCATGGAAAAATTATGTTCGCTATCAGCATCTGAGCGAGGTTTGAAATCTTAGGCATTTATTACAGAGCTGAAGTGTGTTGTCACCTGTCTCAAGAGGCTATTAGTAAGGGTGAAATGCACCAAGCTTCTCGCCTCAACCTTGGAAAATAACCCAGCTAGAGCAGTTTTTCACCTGTTACATAAAATGTATATATTCATGTGTTGACTTTGCCTGCTTATTTCCGGTTTGCGTAGTACAATAGCCCGGGGGGGTTTCTGCGTGCCCCTCTCCAGATATACTTTGCTGAGTGACCACGGTACACGCAGACATTAATCCCTACATTTCAAATCAGTAATAATGGTATATACGGATTTGTATTTCATCGTGGGGACGCAAAATGGCACGTTTGTTATCCAAACCCAGCGTTGCTACTAAACATGATGGACATGTGTGGATAAGGCGGTGGAGGCGAGGCAAGATATCGCATGGCAAGCAGGGATTATTATTAGTCCCTCGACGTTCGGAATGTGGTCCCAGGACTAAGCGGCCAAAGGAAGTCCTGACCTACAAAGTGCCCACCTAGTTAGCCTGCAATCCATCGATTCTTACGAGTTGAGAGGGCCGGATTGTGGGATATTCAGGCTGGAGCCTCCAGGAAAACGTCAGGTGAGCCCAAGTCCCAACCTCGGCGAGAAGGCCCATATCGCAATATCTTCAGTTGCAGGAAGAGCTAAAAATACAAGTCTTAATAACAAAATAAGACAACGTAATCTAATAGTTGTGTCTTGGACGAGCATTGAAGGAGAGACTGGCGCGCGAGAGACATTGTCAAGCCCTAATCGGAAACCCTAGCCCTAGGTCGAGCCGCATCAACCTCCAAACATCGCATGCTCAGCCTCACCCTTCGATACCTTGACATCTGATTTTTGGAGACTGAAGCTTTTTAAACGGTCAAAGGCGGTGGTATTATCCTGGGAGGTGGCGACCAATTGTCTGCCCATGAATATGATTGACAGAAGCGATTATTAGTACCAGAAATACCAAAGCTTAAATGTTGAAGAGAGCAGATGTGGCTCGACCTGCTTCATGGTCCGCCTGTCACTCTCGTATTATTACTCCCACGTACCCACTGCTTGAAATCTTTGCCAAACCCCGCTGACAATATCCAGAACTAGTTGGGACTTAGGCTCAAAGCTATTGATAAATTCCGTCCCGTTATGTTCCAAGTCGGCTCTGTCTGGTTGAAAAGAGGATCATATGCTGGCCGCTTTTGATACTCTCCTGCCATAGCCTGCCATAGCCTTTCAGGTTGATGGGGCTTGAGTCACTGGCGAGTTTGTATAGGATGAGCAAAAACAATAATCATATTCATCAAGGATTCTGAACTCTGGACCAGGGTGGTCGCTTGGCATAAGCCATATCGGACTCGTTAGTTTGACAATTAACCCTGTCTGGCGCATGCTGCAGACGGAGGCCCTAGTTCCCACCAAACAGAAACTTGCTCTTGCTCGCCATACAAGCGTCCTCGAATCAAATGGACCAAGTTCTGTACCACTTTGGACGAGTTGCAGATTGCAGCCGCACCGTGCGCCAGCGACGAAAAATGGACAGTTTCCCTTTGTTCCCACTGGGCTCGTGTCAGAATTTGGACCAACCACCAGCGAGCCTGATGGTCAATTTTTTTTTATTTTTTATTTTTTTATTTTTTTTAAACACTGCCGCTGCTTTGAGCATTTTCTTCGCCTCCCCCAATGTTCTTAATTCCACCATTTAGAGACTAGTCAAGGGACCGGAACGCTTGTCAAGGTTCGTCGCCAGTTAGTCTCTTTTCGTTGGTGCTCTTCCCAGAGCCTTTCGGTTTGGCGAGAGGCCCATCCAGCCTCTCCCGTGACCCCAAAATCCTTAAATGACGGGTCATTTGGAGAGGGGTCATTAGTGGGAGGAATGTGAAGTTTGAAGGGGGATATTACTCTGACTGGACTCTGGAATGCTCTGGATCTATCCCGGAAAGCTCAGCACAGCACTTGCATTTTCTCTGTCCCCGGAGTATACGACTTATGATTGGAAAACCGCTGGTCATTGTAGTCCTGGATCCCAAGCTTGACAAAGGGACGATCGCCCAATTTTCACAGTCGAAGTCCCAAGAATCGATCATTCATACCTCCACACGATACCATCCTTAGGTTTACGATTACCTTTTGTTATTATTATTATTTCCACGTTTAACCTTTATTTGTTTGATTACCGTACCCATCTTCCGCAGGCACTGTCGCTTGCTGCCTCTTGGGTTTCTGGCCTGTGCATTTACCCAGAATTATGAGAAAGTAGAAAAACACCTCTGCACCCTTTTCTCGCCTCTTTTTTTTCGTGTCTCTCTTTCATTTCAAAATTTCACTGAACACTGACTGTGACACTTTGCTTCCTTCTTTTGTCCTTTTGTCCCCTTTGTGCCTTTAACAATATAAGTTGGCAATCCTCACCCACAAACGCGCCAGGCTTGTACAACGTATGCGACGCGAGAGTATAGCAGGAAGAGAAGGGAAATAAACAATTCTACCAGAGACCTCTAGATGGGAGCAGTCTAGTCACGGAAGACCCGAGAGCAGATCAAATCGTATTATTATTTCTCTGGCCAGTGATCAGTGATCACTGAGCTTATTCCTTCCTGCGCCTCCCGACAGGGAAAACCTGCCTGGAGTTCCAGGGGCCGCTCGAGCTACCCCAAGTGATCGTCGTCTCTCCACTCCACATCCTTTATCAAGATATAGCGACAAGTTCATCTCGACATTTTTTCGACAACGACCTGGAGGAGATATTTCCTGGGTAAAAGCTCCTGACCTCGCTCTATCTATCTATTTATTTTTTGAACTCAGCTTACTGTGACGAAAAGTCCAACCATACCTCTACCGACCGTGCAATTAACACCCCAAACACGAAACTACTCCATTTATCGACGACTGATTATATCCATCGCGGTTCGAAACTTCTTCCGTGATTTGAATTTTGAGTTGGTACGAATTTATTCCATTTATAGCCCTTGTTCCTTCTGTCGGCGCAACTGTTTTCGGAACATTTCATAATATCAACTTTTCTGTTTGACCTCCACCTACATCCAATGGAGAGTTTTCATCCCATGATTTTGGCAATTAGATCGCATCGAGTTCTGTATTAACCATAACCTCACTTCAAGATGCAATTAACTCAACTCGAAACTTAAAGCCCCTCTTCCAAACCTTCATTGATGCTATCCCTTATCCGTTTGCGTTGACGACACTTCTGTATCCCGCCCAGGGCCAATCTGGCGTGTTCGTCCTGAAAGGTTATCCTTGCAACTAGCTTCCGACACCTATCTTTCGCCAGAGGCTTCGCTTCTTGTACCGATATCGGTTTATTCAGTCACTTGTTACGAACCAGCACCCCATCTGCTATTTTCGAGCTCTGATTAATTCTATCTACCCCTTTACAATCATCCCAACCGTCTATACCGACACGTGAATTTCCACCCAACCCTTTGGTGTTTGTGGTTGTTGAGATTGACCAGGAATTACCTATTCCATACTCCAACCGGGGCAAGTACCCCTTACTACTGCTTCCCAAGCACCCATCCCAGGTTCCGAACTTCCAGGGCGGCTAAGCCTGTCACGAAACCTTTCCGTCAACGTGGCGACCCTCGCAGTCCAGCCTCCCGGAATGGGAGCGGCGCTTGATGCTCTGAATCCACACCAGCCACTGACATCTCGACGACCAGCTTCAAACAACTTACCAGGTTTCGAGCTTCTCCATCCCCAAGTGTCGCAGTCACAAAAATTTTCACTCCCTTCAAATACTAACGTACAACAACCGTCTAGAGTTGGAAACCTATTAACCCCACTATCGATCTCATCATCAGACGCCGGATCCATACCCGCGTTCGCGAGCCATAGTTCTGTCTCATCCGCGCAGGCTGCTCCTTCGTATTCGCAAAGTTATTGGTCAACCACAAGTAATTTTGGTCCTGGTATGATCAACCAGCCCTGGCCCCAGTCCTATCCTTCAAGGAGCGGGTTTTCACCACCCTCATCATTGGCAGGTCGAAATACTTCGAGCTCCCCGACCACAGCAGAAAGCTTAACACCTACGTACGATATAAACCATCGTACCTACTTTCAATCCGGCATTCCTGGCCCACCGACATCATCTGGCCCTTCGCCAACAACACAGCAGCCTCAACAGACTATGGCGCATATCTTGATGAATGCGCAAGCCACTGCGGCGACGGCACCACCGACTCTACCGGCGCATAACAATGTCGATGCTTATGGACAGAAGCTTCCATCAACCCCACTTTATGGTGGACCGCAACATACTACACACCATCAATCCCCTTTCCATCCATATCAGAGTAATGGCGGTCCAGCTATGCACCATTCTAGTGCGAACGGTCCAGTATCGAGGATCTCGCCGATCCAAGTTCAGCTACAAAATGAAGGACCACACCAATTAGCCCAATACAGTAGCCGACCATATCCATCCTACTCTTTACCTGCAATGAGCGGACCAATTATGACAAATGTACACAACCCTGGCAGTCAAATGACGCTTATGGGATCTATGCAGCCAAATCTGTTGCCAGCCTTCAACAGCGGCCATGCAGCTGCTATGAGCGGCATGTACAATGGACATCCCCATCATATGCATGGGCTTATGCAACATCCCCAGCCCGACGATAGGCCCTACCGATGTGACCAGTGTTCTCAAAGTTTTAGGCGCAACCACGACTTGAAAAGGCATAAGCGCATTCATCTGGCGGTTAAACCGTTCCCATGCGATCACTGTGCTAAGAGTTTCTCGCGAAAGGATGCATTGAAGGTATAAATTCTCTGGAGCGGTTTCCCCATGATCAACTCCAAAATACTTTCCGTCCATATATCACTCTCCTTACTAATCAAAATATCCGTGTAGCGACATATTCTTGTTAAAGGCTGCGACAAGGAAAAGGACAAGGACAAGGACTCTCAGTCCGATAAAAGGAGTTCTACGACTGCTACCTCCCCAGTAATATCGCGTAAGGACGGAGGCGCAGGCAACCCGACCAATGTTCGTTCTCATAATTTCAAAGGAAACCAGGCTTTGAAATCGCATTCATGAAATCCTGTACTTTCAGTTTTTTATTGGGTTTAATCCGGGTGTATGCGTGATTTATTCATTCATGTTGCTTTTGGTTTATGTTCTATAGCACCTTTTCTCAACCTCCACATAATTACAATCTAGCCCCCCTTTGGTCTTAATTTTTTATTATCTATTAATACTTTTATTTATTTATTTTGAGTTCACATTTTATTGTTGCATTCTTTTCAGAGACAAAACGACAAATACCTCTTTATTGTTTGGAATTTTATAGGGATATCAATGGGGAACAGGGTAAAGTTGAGGTGTCATTAGGCCCATTTTTATCGAGTATCGTTTCCCATAGCCCGATTTTTCGTGCATCATCTGTTGTTTATTGACCTCCCCCCTTTCATCATGCAGGGATAACATTGTCTGTTTGCTTGCAATTCTGCTTCTGTCTATCATATTTAAGGCGTTTGATATCCCTTTTTTTTGCAAAGTCCTAGTCATCCAATTTCTCGTCATGTGCCTTTAAGCAGCAACTTGTTACCTTAATTTCTGTTTGATACTCTCGCATTTCTACAATACCTTTCCCCCCTGCTATTGGCTATCTATGTTTGTTCACGCAAGTTCGTCCTGATTTCCATATTTCCTTCATCTCCTCTACGATTATTTTCCAGCATTCTTCTTGTGTATTCTGCTTTTCACATATATGTTTGCCTGTATCGCTATATAAGTACGTACATTGTGCGCCATTCAATATCCTCCTTTTGGGCGCCTGACAAAATGAGAACAGCAAGAAAAGATGACGAGAAAATTACAAATAATCTAAGATATTGATTGATGGTGGAGCATCTATATATGACACTTTCTGTGGCTGTTATAATACTTACAACAGCACATTAGGAGCGGATCTATGAATTACCTAGGCACTCAACTAATTGACAATAGGATTGGGTAAACATCCTATTCCATGAATATCACAAATGTTTTCAAGTCATTTCCCGGTTTGCTGCCGTTTTGTCCTAATATAGACACTTAACATCCATCCGTGCCGACGATGACAACTAGAAAATCACTTCGTTCCTAGGTACATAAACTCCATTTTCAATGATACCAACTCGGATAACAAAGACTGACAAACAGACCATGCGTAAACTGAAGCCCTATCATCAGAATGAATCTTATAACCCCTATACAACCGCCGCAATGCCAAATCCTTTGCGATTTATCGCGAAAAAACGACATGGAGATGTTGGTAAACAGCTAGATTGATAACGTGTGTTCATGGTAAGACGCATCTCAAAACGTTCCTTAGCGATTACTGTCCTTCGGACTAGATCTCCAATCAACTCCTGCAGAGTGACTCGGAAGTATTTTTGAAAACTGCACGGAGCTCAGTTTGTGCCGTTCAAAGGTCCTCAGAGCAATCGGAAATCACAGTCGTCTTTCGTTTAGACTACTCTGTAGCAGCATTGTCCCCCTCCTCCTTTTTGCGCCAGAAGCCTGGAACGGCATGGACGTTCTGATAAGGCCAAAATGGGGGCCTCACGTAATGCATACTCCATTTTCTAGGCTCATGAAGCTTGTCATAGAACTGAAAACACGAAAGGACTTCTATATACCTCCAGCCGACATCCTCATTCTCATTCGCAGTCTTCCCATCTTCAAAATTTGGATGAACAGTATATGCCCTCTTGTTGATTGGCAGCGGACCCCATCCCCTGCAAAGCAACTTGACGACAGGTTCGGTCATATGCTCGACGGACTCCAGGCAGATATCGTCGATGAAAAGACAGAAATTATATCGAGTTTCGCTGATGATATTTTTCCGCAGGGCATCTTCCTCCTCACGCTCGGATTCTGGGAGCTTGGGGAGTTTAACCATCTCCTCTTGCACCCAATGGCTGAAGTGATCGCGGATAACGTGCGACGAGGCGCCATCAAATTGAGCTTTGTTGTGAATTACAATCAACTCGTGCTGGGCCCAGAGATCTCCGCCACCTGCCACAGTCAAGTAATCTTCCATATGGCATCGGATTAGGTCAAGCATGTTCTTCCAGGCATCTTCATCTTTGTAGGAGCAACGGTATACGACGAATCCCCAAGTTTTGCCTTTCTTAAGTTTATCGTCTTTGAGAGCCTGATCAATGGACACGAGGGGTTTGGTTTCATCATCCCATAGGAGCTCGCAGTCGGTATCCCCTTCACTGCTCATCGTACTGATGGTGCTGATGATACCTGTGAAGATTGAAAGGATTGTGTGGATTGGGCGATATGCTGTTCCTTTGCTCTAGTTTCTTGCTCTTGCAGTTGTTGCAGTTGTCAGTCCTGTTTGCTGCGGTTGCTGTGGTTGCTGGCTAAAGGGTATAGATAACCTCCCAGAGCAAGGTAGGCGTAAACAGGGGTTCGTCAAGTGTTGACATGGAGCATGCCTTCGGGCAAGCCTGACGAAGGATATCAGCTATATGCAAGATATGAAATGGTACCTAAGCCTCTAGTTTACTCCGGTCAATGGTTAAATATGGAGTAGTTTTATTCGAGCGGGCCAGCTTTTTTGCGTTACTATGTTCTACTGTTCTCTACAGAAGGTAGTGAGGTTTTTTAAGGGGTCTTTAATTGGGAGATACTGATACTTGCCTAGGCATAAATCCCTTTTTGAATCGTGAACTTGCAGAGGTGAGGTTAAAGTTATGTGAATATTGATTCTAGGCTGTGAGCCCGTATTCAGGAGTAACCAAGTGGACGACGGAACACGGAATTACCCCACAGAGTTGCCATTTTTCTTCAATATGATTAAATCAATTGCAATGGATTGAGGAGGCCCTTTACAATTTGTGCCTGATGGTGCTGTGAAGAAGAGTTTACGGGCGAAATATACGAGAGTATTACCCGCATCTTCCACGATCAAATCTAGTGTGGTCAGATCCCTAATTCTTAGGAGCTCATATCGGTTCCGAGCTGTAAGCATGGGTCCCTATAATCTCATATATTCTATTTTATTGTTTGGTGTTTGGGAGGTGTCACAGTCTTTTCCATATCCTGGCAGGAATGCCGAGTTATGGTATCTCCCTGGGGAAGACCCGATTCGTCCTCACACCCGCAATCACTGCCACCGCAAGAGTCGGCATCGCACATGAGCGTCTTGAGGACATCGAGGATTAGGGGTGCAGCAAAGTGACCTTTCGCAATACCCTTGCAAGCAATCCGAATAATTATCGAAATGGTGTAGGTGAGCGATGCCTACAGTTACAACAGAAACCATATTGCGAGCAACCTTTGTGATTTATTGTTAGTAAGACAGCATGCAGTTTCTATATATACCTCGTGTATATAGAGATATACCATGTACTCAGGGGGCAAGTCTTATTTGCCGGCTTCACCAACTCTCCACATTCTGCACCGGCATCACATTTGCTGGAGCAGTCGTCCTGGAGTGACAGAGACACATTTATCTCCTGCAGTAAGAGCTGTGCCAGGTTCGAAGTATTGACTCCTGTACTGCCCAAGTAAAGGAGGATCTACAAGTGGTTTAAGGGTATTCGTATTTATCCCCCGGCAAAAGTAAGTGGTTGTAAGGAGAAATCGCAAAGTCAGAGCAGCAGCAGCAGCAGATTGACTGATACAGCTGCTAGAATTAAACGCGGAGGTCAAATATCTCTCAGATAGCAAAGAAAAGAAGCTCAGAGGGGGTATTCTGGTAGGAAAACAAACAACGAGGTTTAAATCATGTCGTCCAAAGAGGCTGAACAAACGCGGTCATCTCCTGAACCACGGCGAGCAGAGCCTCCAACGCGTTTGGGTAAGACCCGCATCGTTTCTCGTCTTTCCCACAGGACATTAACGAGCAAGCAGTTTCATGTTTTTGGTAGAAAGGAGGTGGCAGTGAGGGGGAAAGGGATGAAAAGCAGAATGAAAATCTCGATGCTGCATAGAACTGGGTGTATGTAACCAACTACCTCACTCAGATAGATCTCGATGATGGCTGTTGTTGAAGTTTTGATGATGCTGGATGGATGCTGATGACGAGTAATATCGCGTACGTATCATCGTTCAGTGATCCTTACATCCGGGAGGCGGGAGGCTTATATACGGGCTCTCTAGATCAACCTGCATCAAGGCTGGCTACCCAGATAGTTTTGTTATAATCGTGCCTCCGCGCACCCACACCTCGTGTGGGTGCGCCACAGCGTAACGATAAAAATATCAACTTCTTCATTAATCAATCTTCAAATATTAATATATCACCACCACCATGACCAATATGATAGATGATCTTGAAAAACATATTCAGAGTGCCATTGAAGTCTATAATGGCAATTGAAAACAGAAAATCCTACCTCTGGCATGCAAATTCAACATTTCTTTATCAATGTCTTCGAGCAAGAATCAATGGAAGAAAAACATGCAATGCAAAGACTGCACTGAACAAGAAGCTTAGCAAGAGTCAGAAGGACATGTTAAAAGAGTAGATAGCTCATATGGACAGAAATAATTGCTCACTGACTGCAGAGCAGATTCAAGATAATGTGAATCTCATCCTCAAATGCCATCATACTGATCCTTCAACCTCCCCACCTGTGGTCAGCAAGATGTGGACCTATTGATATATACAAAGCTTGGATGGGTATAAAAGGGTTAAGCAAAAGGCAATGGATCTGAAAAGAATTGCTGTTGAGAATATTAGCTACATCAAGGTGTGGTTTGATCATTTGAAAATCTTACTTCAAAAGTATGCATTTCAAACCTGCAATATCTACAACTTCAATGAGATTGGCTTTCAAGAGGGTCAAGGACATGGAGAATGGGTTATTACTGCTTTTAAAGACTTTAATTCAGTTATAACTTCATCATATTCTTGAGGATTGATCACTATGATTGAGTGTGTTTCAGCAGATGGTGAGGTATTGAATCCCTTCATCATCATGAAATTCAAAACCCAACTTGAAGATTGGTATACACAAAGCAACCTACCAGGTGGATATACAATTGTGACATCAGATACTGGCTATACCAATGATGAGATTGGCTTTGCATGGATTCAGCACTTTAATGAGGCCTCTAAACTGCTTAAGCTAGATTCAAAGGTCCCTGACTACCCCAAGTTGCAAATATATGGAGAAGACTTCTTTTTGCCACAATCAAGCTGTTCAGATACTGCTTCATCACAGCTATTCTCATCCAAGACAATTGAGAAGCTACAACATCATATTCAAGTGGCAAAGAAGGGCAATGTGAGATATGAAGGATACATTTGATTTCAAATCACCTCATCTGAGCAATCAATTGAACAAGATTTTCCAAGGCAGTCTTGTTCAGGTGGAACTCAATGCTATAAGAGAGAGTGAGATTGAGGGTTACTACCTTGCAACCAAACACCACAGCACTAAAAATACACATCAGCAGGTTCAAGTAGGAGGTATACTCACTGTCAGGGATGTGAATAGGAAGATAGCACAATGTAAAGAGGAGGAAGCAGAAAAAGAACATTATAAGAGAGTCAAACATGTTGAGATAGCTTTGAAGAAAAATGTCACAGATCCAACTCAACAAGAGGTTAATGATATATATGAATGTCTCGCGAATAATACAGCTACTACAGATGATATAGATAAATTAATTATCATAGATTAGCAGCGTGGTGATGAGATATTAATTTTTGAAGTTCTAATTATCCATATTTTTATCGTTACGCTGTGGCGCACCCACATCAGGTGTGGGTGCGCGGGGCACGATTATTAGGGGGAACTATTCATGATTCGATCTATGAGATCACGTGATCAGCAACCCACGGCGGTTTCGAGATACAAACCCCTGTAGTGAACGGATAATCAATATAACCGGTTAAAGTTTACCCTGGCCATCATTGAGACACTACGTCATCGTTCAACAAAACCACCAATTTGTGATCACAGGAATTGTGGAACGGACGGAAAGCTCCTTAGGCTGTAGGATCGAAAAAATTGTTCAGAGAAAGAAACCGTTAGTTTTATGACACGTAAACGAGGAGATAAAAAGTAATTAAACGTTGTTGCATCTTGGCTGGAACAAGACAGACAAGCTTGAGATTTGTTCAACTATACCTTTTACTACCTGTAGTACACGAAGAACGCCACGCCGTTATCTGCCCTTATCGTTTGATCACAAAAAATAACATTCAATCCGCAGAAAACATGAGTCTTGCGTGTCATGTAAGTGGTATTTCAGATATGAGTTGACTAACCTCGTCATCCTAAAATCTATTCTGAATTCATTTAAATAGCTATTTGCTCTTCTCCTATCCAACTGTAATTGGTGCTCTACGATTATACCCCTTACGTCTTCATTTTTCATTTCTGCTAACCGATTACCGGCTTCAACTATGTCTGCAGGTTGATGCCAACAAGTTGGTTGAGGAACTACGCAGCGATCCGGAAAGGAGGAAAAGCGAGCGCATCTGGACTGAGAGTGTCTCCGGATCCATGATCCCGTATCCCACGCGATATGCCAGCCGTGAGGAAATACCCAGATTCAAGATACCGAAGGAAGGCGCGCCGGCGGAGGCAGTGCGTAGGATGTTGAGGGATCACTTGGATCTGGATGGGATTCCAAATTTAAACATGGCTAGGTTGGTGACATTTTTTTTCGCCAGCGCAGCTTTCGGTGTGGAGAGGCAGGTTTATTTATTTATATATTTTTCATGCACGTGCTAAGATTATGTATGCTAATTAAAACCAACCATTGGTTAATGTCAACAGTTTTGTCGGCACGTATATGGAACGCGAAGCTGAAGAGCTTCTCTCGGAAAATATCAACAAGAATTTGGCAGATGCTGATGAATATCCGGCACTGATGGAGATGCATGCACACTGCGTTTCCATGCTAGCAAACCTCTGGAATGCTCAGCCTGGGGGTAATGCAATCGGTTCTGCAACGACTGGCTCTTCCGAAGCCATTCACCTGGGCGGATTGGCAATGAAAAGACGTTGGCAAGAGAAACGAAGAGCTGCCGGAAAAGACATCTCGAAACCCAACATCATCATGGGCGCAAATGCACAGGTTGCACTCCTTAAATTTGCGAGATACTTCGAAGTTGAGCCGCGAATTCTCGACGTCTCTGAGAAAAGCCAATATAGGCTTGATCCTGAACTGGTCAAAAGGAATGTGGACGAAAATACTATCGGAGTCTTCGTTATTTTAGGTAGTACATATACCGGTCATTACGAACCCGTGGAGGAGATTTCAAACATACTTGATGAATACCAAGCGAAGACTGGTGAAGACGTGCCTATCCATGTCGATGCAGCAAGTGGAGGGTTTATTGCACCGTTCGCTTTCGCTCAGGTCGGAGGCTCCAAATGGTGACTTCTCCCGAAATCGAAATAAGACACACAGGCTGACAACAAGCAGGGACTTTTTGCTGCACCGGGTGAAATCGATCAACACATCTGGCCATAAATTTGGCTTGGTCTATGCTGGGCTTGGTTGGATTATTTGGCGGGAGAGATCGTATCTGCCAAAAGACCTCATTTTTGAGCTTCATTATCTTGGCGGAACGGAAGAGACGTTTACCTTGAATTTCTCCCGCCCCGGAATGCAGGTGATAGGACAGTATTACAACTTCATTCGCCTTGGCTTTAACGGGTACCGTGAAATCATGGAGAATTGTCTGGCAAATGCTAGGTTGCTGAGCAAGGCTCTTGAGAAAACAGGATGGTTTGTGTGTGTTAGCGACATTCATCGAAAGAAGGGGAATTTCAACCTTGGGCAGACGGCTGAGGAGCTTAAAGAATTGTTGAAAACCGTGGAGGGTGAAACATCGGCGGATTATAACGCCGGTCTGCCGGTAGTCGCGTTCAGACTCTCTGACGAGTTTCAAAAAAAATACCCGGATGTAAAGCAGGAGAGCATCAGTTTGTTGCTTCGTGCGAAGCAGTATATCATTCCAAGTAAGTCTTGTGCATTCTGGTTCAAGCGTTTCACAATGCACTTATTGGGCATACACTGACAAGTGTTGCAACGACGTATAGATTACCCACTCCCTCCAGCAGTGGACAAGACTGAAATCCTGCGAGTAGTTGTCCGTGAAAGCATGTCGGCAGATCTCATCGATCGGCTTGTGGCGGACACCGTAGCTGTCACTGAAAAGCTCATGGAAAAGCCAGTAGATATTGCCGCACTCCACACAGGATCTACCTCAATCGCCAGGCGACATATGGCTGCAAACCGGGAAGCGGGTGCAAAGGGAACGAGAAAGCACCACCCTAATGGCATCCACAGAAGCGTCTGTTAGCCCCAATTCCAGTTCGCTTCGTCATCTTGAAAGTATGGCACACAGATTAGCAACAATAATAGCAATGGCATGACGTTTAATTTGTTTGATCCTTGATTTTCCGGTGTTCTTCTCCTGTTGATGTTAGTGAGAAATGGGTAGTAGTATTTCGTGTGCATAATCGGTTATTTTTTTTAATTATTATTTTTTTTTTTTAAAAAAATGGAATTGATAAAATCTTCAGAAATCGAGATGTTGGCTCTTCAGTTTCCTAGTTTCTTCCAAGTAAAGAAATCATCATGGAAATAAAGCTCAGGTCATGGTGGACAATAATATCATCAGGTTCCATGATCATGGATCCCCTGCTGAGGTAGGCCGTTTGAAGTTCGGGGGCAAAGAGTTTTTACAGATGACACAAAGCCGACATCCACAGCGGTCGGTTTACTAGAGGCAGGCTCTATTAGAGGTGTTGCGTATGTGATGTCGGCAAGGGTCGGCAGGGGTTGGCGGGGGAGGTGTCAATTGATTGATATTTGGATGGTTTGTTGATGTTTGAAGATGAGGTGAGAAACCAACCTCCACCGCGCTAAACCATCTCGGCCTAGTTCTAACTGAAACCAACCACTTGGGCAAACCTCCGAGTTCTCCCACTTCTGTCTCTTCAGCACGTCAAGGCGGGGGGGGGGGCAGGGTATTTCCCCGAAGCCAGAGCTCATTTCAAACCATTGATATGTGTAAAGCTAGTTACTTGACTGGTGTATTATCAGCTGGTGATATTTCTCTAGCATCATTTCACAAGCAGCAACTGAAGATTGCCACTTACTTCCATGGTTACTCAACTCTTGACCGGCCCAACCACCACGCAGAAAATAACATTGTTGAACTCCTGGGATAATGAAAAAAAAAAAAAAAAAACCATGACCGGCACTTCGGATTTTGAACTGCAGAGACAGAGCACATTGAGCGATCGATAATAAGCGGCTCAAGCTGGCAGAGAAGAGCCGACACGAGGACATGGATTGCAAACCCTGCATGCCTCGATCATTGATCAGGTACCGGAATTCTAATAATACTGATGTAGCGTTGATTCCTTCGACAAAACAGCAAAGTTCAATACTACTCCGGAATCTGGAATTGTGCCATCCATTGATCTAATACTTTGCTGGGCTCTTTTGTGCATGCCAGGAAGCTCTAGGCTCTGAGGGACAACAAACCGACACGACCGTGCGTGCAGTACAGAAATAAATATCCATATTCCCCTTCATTGGCTGGAGACTGGGTGGTCATGTTCTCCAGCGAGTCGGATTGTGGAGATCTACCGCCACTACAACGCGGTTGGCCAGAGGCTAGGACCACATGATAGCCCGCTGGATACCTGTGCTCATATGATTTGTTCGCGGTTCTATCGGTCTGTATGGTATTGCTTGTTAACAGGTTAGTTAACGCCGTAACATCGGTTTTCGGAAGATCACTCAACATTTTCAATGACTCTTCCATTGCGTTTTTGCAATCTTTCCTCAGTCAACCAGGTCGCCATCGCTTTCTGCATCTATTACTGCTTTCGTCTTCTTGCTTTGTATCGTTTTGTCGCTTTATTCTTTTCTGGAGACATTTGGCACTAGAGAGGGAAGAGAACGTCTCGGTTTAAACTCCAGTTTTATTTTGATCTGTCCTAGTTTGGTTGTCGTCCCCGCATTTTGCCTCGCTTTATTGTGTGCGAGTGTTGGGGCAGATTTCGAGTATTAAAATCACCTTCACCTTCAAGGGGCTTAATAGCACTTCTTTGATGTATGGTGTTTTACCATATTTATTAACCTTGATATTTTATTTAAAGTTGTGTTCTTCTGGGCACCTTCTGAATACTGTTTCTTGGAGTCATATACTCTCTCTGTGTCGAGTTTTCTTCAGACACTTTACTTTCGTTGTTCACCGTGATTCCCGCTTTATTGACTAATACCCGTCAACCACCTTCCAACCGCCTTGTTTCACTCTCGATGTGGATGAGAAGAGGGCTCTGGAGAAGCTGTTTTCCTATTTCGGCATGGAAATTGCCCGAACTCCAGACGCTACATCCGCGGAAGCTGTACAACCAAAAAAATGTACCACTAAACCAGGATTGCTAAGCCCGCCCACCGTATTACCCGAGTTGGTGCCTGCCAGTAAATCATCAGCCGAGCAGGTATCTGTCAATAGGACTGGCGTTAGCAAACCTAGACAATCTAAAAGTCGAAATGGTATGCATTATGATTCAATGGATTTCTCTCAAGTTAAAATCTTCGCTGGAGAAAAGGGTGAAATGTCAAAGGAACCGACCTAACCAGCTGACGCTTGTTTGATTGAGTGATCAGGGTGCATGACATGCAAAACCAAGAGACTCAAATGCGATGAGACGAAGCCTACATGTCAGCAATGCCATAAACGGAATGTTAGCTGCGGAGGCTACAAGAAGGACTTTAAATGGAGGCCATTTGAAGAATCTACCTTCACAACAAAATCCATTGCCAAAGTGAAAAAAGGTTGTAACTGCCAGAGATGAGATAGATTCACTCCGGATATTCGTGCTAACTTTCCATATTAATAGTATCTCTACGTGCGCCACCACCCTCTCCTTCCACGCCTACATGTAAACCAGCTCGCTCAGTTCTGAGCTCCTTAACTCCGTATAATTCTAATTCCCCCGAAGAAGATGTCACATCACAATATCATAGTTTATATTCTACGCTGGAGAGCATAGCGCCGCTTCCTCCGTATGATAGCTATCAGCGTGACATCTTTCCATCGATTCTGGACTTACAGGATCAGTATTTAGATGACTACGAGTATGATGATATGATGCCCGGCTTATCATATTTTTCTTCAGCCCAATCTCCAAAAGTATCTGAGAATATATTGATAAATAATATGGTAGCCGGAGTCGAAAATACTCCTCAGTGGCTTTCGTCGTCTGTGCCCCTCACCCCAGCTCTGATTGACCTCAGGAATGACGATGTGGAGGAAATAGTTCGACAGTCTCCCCCGGAGAAAAACGTGACCTCGAGCTGGAGCACTCTATCGACATCAATTCCTTGTTTCAAAACCATATTTAAAAGGACCATTTCTCAGGGACCATCCTTACATCCGGAGTCGCCAGCAATGCTCCTTACCAGATACGACCGCCAGACATGTGGTATTCTGTCAGTGAAGGATGGGATTTCTGAAAACCCCTGGAGAACTTTGATATGGCCTCTAGCTGTGGACTGCCCTGCACTCTTCCACGCAATTTGTTGCCTATCTGCTTTTCACTGTGTCAAAGAGAACCCCCGTTTGAGAGTTCACGGCATGGATCATATGCGACAGAGTATCAGTATGCTGGCCACAGGTATTGGAACTATGAAAACAGATGAGGCATTGGCTACAACCCTAGCACTTGTATTTGCAGAGTCCTGGGATCGTCACATTTCCACTGGCGTACAACATCTTCGAGGGGCGAGAATTTTACTGAACCAGGCTGTGATACAGCAACAGCAGCGTACGGATATGCAAGCAGATGACCTAGGGCGCCTGAGATTTTTGTACAATACTTGGCTTTATACCGATGTCATCGCAAGACTCATTTCTCTAGAGGACGGAGAATTCGAAGAAGTTGCATTACCACACGATTTCACCCCTTCCTTACCATACTCACCTGTCCACGAAGTTGACCCTCTCATGGGGTGTGCGACGACATTGTTTCCACTAATTAGCCGTGTTGCCAATCTCGTTCAGAAGGTTCGCAGGTCTAAAACTAACTCCATTCCCATCATATCGCAAGCTATGGAGCTTAAAACGCTCATTGAGGAATGGGAAGTTCCGAAGTATTTTCAACCACCAGTGGATCCAACTTCAAACGTCCAACATAGCTTCCAGACCGCGCAAGCATATCGCTGGGCGACTCTGCTATATCTTCACCAAGCGGTTCCCGAGATCCCATCGGAGTCTGCGGCTCAACTTGCCAAGCGCGTTCTTGTACTTTTAGCTACCGTCCCACCAAGTTCTCGAGCAACAATTGTACACATATACCCTCTGCTTGTTGCGAGCTGCGAAATGAAAAATGGGGAGGATCGTAATTGGGTCAAGGAGCGTTGGGGGGCGATGCAGTCAAGACTAATGATTGGAAACGTCGATCGCTGTCTTGAAGTTGTTCGCGAAGTGTGGGATCGCAAGGATGAGTATGATCGACAGAATATGAGGTCAACGGAGGCTGCTTTTGTACAACTCGTGGATACTACCAAACGAAAGAGCATCTATGGAGTTGGAATAGGGTCTGTAGTGGACGATGAGGATGATCTGAGTGAAGATTCTGCGACATTCGAGCATTCGGACCAACGACCAACAAACAGACAGATTCTAGCATCTCCGGGAGACGTGAAAATGCCACGTTCGATCTCGTCTCCACGGCAAGCACCGGTTAGTCCAATCAGAAGAGGGTCGTTTATTCCGGGGGTGGACAGTCTGGGAATCGAAAATACTGTACGGGGAAGACTACACTGGGTTGGAGTGATGAAGGATTGGGGATGGGAAGGTGATTCTTCGATGCTAATCTCCTATACCAATCCAACCCATGCCAATGCGCAACTTCCTCCATTTTGTAAACCACGCAACTAACTATTTCATCCTACAGTTCTTCTTGGTTAAACCCCAAAACCCAATATCACATAAGTGTGCCATTGTCTATGATCCACTGACTTTTCAAACCTCTCCAAACCTCCTATTCGACGGATTATTTTACCAAACTTCGAAAAGTAATTATCTCATCGCTTTTGTAACCCTACAAAGTTTTAATATATCGCACCATTTCACAACTCAATAATTATTGCCCATTGTTTACACAGCATATTGACCAACCAGACTGAAGTATCTGGCATGGTAATCCGGGGATACGAATCTTCCAGAGAGGAAATGTTCATGGCCCATATCACTAATATTACATCTATGTCTTCACCCCCCTTCTCTTTTGATTCCTCTTCCAACCCTTTCTTATCACCATTGTAATTGCTCCAACGTCAACCTACAAATACGTGACGAGGTCTTCTTGGAATTTGCACACGTATGCTTGTACGTATCGTTAAAAGAAAGTACGCTTGCCAGAGCTCAAAGTTGGATCACACTCGGAGAGGACCACATCCTATATATTTGCATATATATAACGTTTTCAGCTCCTTACCAACCCAACTTGAATTTTGTACTTATTCTGCTATGTTATGATGAGACGTGCAAGTGCTACTGGCTACAACGTCCCTTAATTAGTGCCATAAAGGGCTTTTTCTTCTGTTTCTCTCTCTTGCGTGGATAATTCATCTGATGGGTACAAGGCGTTGGTCGGTAAGGGAATATACACCACAAGATATGCTCGGAAAGCAGGCAAATTGGCGCGAATTCTGATTTTGTTTCTATTGTTATTCATTGCTTTGATTTCTTAAATTTTCCTCTTTAACATTGATTCTTCATTTTTCCGTGCTAGTGCGACTTTTACTCCTTCACGGTGTTGGTTGATATTAGTTTTTTTTATAAATGTGAACAAATTGCCATTCCACATCTTGTTTCGCCACGTCCTTTAGTTCCCCAATATGTCTCAGTATTCTGGAATGCATATAATATTGGTTTTATGATCTAATTAGTAATTTATTTCTTAGAAAGTCGTGATCTTGAACTGTTCTTAATCATGATCACATCCTATGAGCTGAATCTGTCCCATCAAAGTAAAAAGTAACTATTTACCTCATATACGCGCTCTAAGGGCTAACCCGAAGGTATTTCCCAATATATTCAATATCCATAGAGCGCTCCCACGGCTTGACAGAATCTCATCACGACCTGTCGAATGTAGATGTCCATATGTATACCCTGGCTGATCCATCGTTGATGCAGAAAGTATAAAAAAAGCTCAATTGGGGCTCCTCGAAGGGCAAGCTGTTAATACCATCCGAAGAAAAAGCGACCAATAATATACGCGCATTCCACGGGGCAAGGATGGGCTTCTTCCAGATTTCCGTAGGAGCGGCAGATACCAACCGTTCCAGAAGCTAATATAAGGTCCAGTAGATTCATTTCAATGACAGAATGAACATGTAGCATCACCCTCATTTCCACAGTAGCTCCCATGTGTGCTTGTTAAAAATTATCCCCCATTTTCAGACTTCAAGAGAGTAAAAATCTCATTCCCAATTGCTACCAGCCAAGAAGAGGTCTCCATGCCCAATCTACTGTTGTGATACACGTATAACCTTTTCCCGGACTACTCTGAAAGCCATCGCCGCATGCTGCCCCGGGTCGAACCCACAATATCCTCAGTCCCTTTAACCAGCGCCACGCATTCTTTTACTTCTCTGCTCGCGATTTCGATGTACAGTCTTTGCTGCTAAGGGCATTCCTCTCTTTATGACTGCATATCCAGGAGCCGTAAATGAATATCCACGGACAGGTTGGAAAAAACAATGAAGGAGGCATCAAAACCCAGTGAAGTCCAGTACGTCTCTTATTCTAGCATCTGCATAATGACAACGCAGCCTGGTTGCAAAATTGTGCCGATTTGTTGGCATGTAACGAGGCGAGGATTACGTTACGTGGTGCTTATGATGTTCATCCTCACGTCTAACTAACGTAATCAATCACCTAGCGAGACAGATCATCTACTGAGACAGATCTCCATCATTCAATATCTTTCTAATTGAATATCACCACAACTAGATAGTAAAACCAGCTAATTACATTATAAATTATTCCCTGTACACTGGGAGCATGTATGAATAGTATGTTCTATAACACCACATCTACTGCACTGTGGTGCTGCTTGCTTTTGTGATTGCTTATCAGACTGCTCTATTATTCCTCTTTCCTCTGCAATGCCTCTTTGTACACAATTCACCTCTTCTTGAACAGTCAAGCCCTCTCCCTGGCTTATGTATGTATGACATTTTTCTCACTTTCTCTTTTGCTTTGCATTTACAGTCTTCAGCTCTTTGTTTTCTCTTGTTAAAATAACAGCACTATGCATAGCCATCTGACATCCCTTGACTAGCTTTTCCAGAGCTTGATTGGTTGAACTGAGTGGACTCTGTGTACAGTGCTTGAGATATTTCTTAATCTTCTCACTCTGAAGCTCCAGTTGTCATATATTATGAGGTGTGGCAGTGGCCCAGGAGGCCTGGGAGCTATGTGAGGTCCCTGGGGGGGTTGGTGTATGTATCTGGGTATTGAGCTGGGAAAGAACCTGCTCTGGATTGTACGGAGCTAGTCCTGTAGCTCTAAATCCACTCTGAAGTATTCTTTTTGCTCAGAGCTGCTGTACGAACTGAAGGATAGATAGTTAAAAACTCATCCTTATCAATATGGTTGATGCCAAGTCCCATTCTCTTCTCAACCTCTTTCCTGTATGCTTGCTTCAATGGGGAAAAACAAGCAACATCTAAAGGCTGTAAGAGATGAGAGGAATGAGCTGGCATATAAAGAGGAATAATCAAGTTTTGAGTGCAAAACTGATCAAACTCAGGACCATTATGGCTGCCATGTCCATCAAGGATCAAGAGTCGATATTGGCCGATCGTACGGGCTTGAGTATGTTTATTGAACATCTCTTTAAGCCAGATCAAACCCAGCTTACCAGTTGTCCGTCCATTTTCACTGGTTTCAATCCTCCAGTTGTGTGGTAGCCCATTCTCGAATCAAGAAGCCTGATGTAACTTCCCCTTGAGGATGATCATTGGAGGTAATGACCAGCCTGTTAAATTGACTCCCTCAATAATGGTGACCCATTCTGTATTCCCAGGCTGTACAAGCTTCGGACGGAGAGTCTTCTCTGACCCAGTAACCACCTTGGCTGTTCCAATAACCCCCATCTGAAACCCAGTCTCATCAAAGTTGTATATATCCTCCTGTACAATGCCATATTTCTGGATAGTATTCCGTACAAGCTCGAACCATTCTTGAATAATCTTAGGATCTTCACATAGGGCTCGTTGATGATCATATGATCGGGAGAACTGGATTTTTAACTCAGGATGGCGGTCAATGAATTGTTTAATCCAGCTTTCACCAACAGTTTTTGGTTTGGAAGAGTTGTCTCGATTGGCAAGAAGAAGATTGGCTGTTTCTCATACAGTGCTCACTTGGGGGGGCTGACCATGTTCATCCATGGAGATTATCCACTGAACAAGAGATAATTCCTCAATAGAGGTCAGTTTTCGATTTCTTAACTGAGAGTTCTCTCGCGTCGTACGGCCGTGAAGTCGATGGCAAAGAGTGGAATGAGAGATGTTGTACAATCTGGCAGCAGCTCTAGAACTAGAAATTTGATCTTTTCTAACTGCTTCAATAGCTAGAGTAAGTCTTCCTTCCTTGTATAAAGAATTATCATCTTTGGTTGCTGACATTTTGACATTTGATCAATTAAGTAGTTAAACGCGTTGCGTAGTGAAGACCTGTCTCAGTAGGTGATCTGTCTCGCTAGGTGATTGATTACGTTAGTTCGATAAGATAAGATAAGATTCATAATAGGCTGAGACGCTAAGCCTCATTAAGATAATTTTGCCGGTTTAGGGTCTGGAACGTTGCAAACCAGGAAAAACCGTCCCGAAACCGCAAAAAGTAAGCAATCCGGGATAACAACCAAGCAACAATATGTAATGGAGATATTATCCGCAGTGAACTTCCAAAGTTTTCCTGGAGAGGGACGAAGCGGTATATAAGAGGGATAGGTGGGGGGAAAGAACAAAACTACAGTTCATAAGCTATTAACTATAAGGCCGTATCGACAGCTTTGTATGCGGCCGCAACGAGATTAATCCTGCAAGTACAGAGGACATCAACTTATCTAGCAACCAGACAGAATAACATGCTGGACATGAAGAGTCCCATGGAGCCAAGCCGCAGACAACGAGGATAGGAACAGGGATCTCTCCCCATCTCCTCACAACCCCTCTTCAATATGTTGCATCTAAGGTCGTTTAGGCGGATATTGTTGCATAGGTAGATTAGGAGAGAACACCTCCAGTCGCTAACCAGCAGAAGAATTCAAGGAGCCCCTCAAGGGGTTTAACCTGGGATAGGAAAAGCTGCATAGGGTCTGATCAAGCCTCTATGTCACGCGTATATTTTACATATAAATCATCTTCCCTAGGCTTTCTGGTTCCGTTTGCTCCACGGTCGCATCCAACAACTCAAGCACCACTGAAACCGCCGTTGATTGCAAACAACATTGCCTTCCTCCGCTACGTATTTTCAAGATAGGACCTTTGCAAACCTAGCTCCTCTCCTCCGCTACCAGAACCAAAAACCAACCGCCCAAACGTGTCACGGATAGCTGATATGTATGAAAATTGCAAGTGAAACAAACAATCCTGAAAATCCCGTAATGTGCGGGTTCTACCGGCTTGGGAAGGGAGCTTGGCTCGTATACACGTATATATGATGAAATGAAGATCATCCTGGAAAAGAAATTCAAGATCTCCGACAAGACGGGGTAGACGGCCAAGGCCACAGCGGGAGACGTGTTTTATTTCCTCAAGGGCTCCAAAATCACGTTTTAAACCCCATCGTATGGTCTGGCGTTTTATGTGAACTCATGTCATATTATCTTCCCTGTGATTCTCGCGGAGGTTTCAGGGTGATTTATAGGCAGCCTGGACAACGCAAAGAAAGGGGCGCTTAAATAGGCGGATTGAGATGTTTCACAGTGAGCCGCGGAACTGACGATCGATAGTTAGCAAGTTGGATCTAATATTACCCGAAGAAAAAAAAAGGGCCCAGGGGTTTCCTCAAAGATTCCTACATAACAGTCACAATTGAACCTGGTAGTTACCATAGATTTCCGCTGTTAGATCCGTGGCTTGATCCCGGGCGCGTTCCTTGGAAATAGAGATGAAATAATTTAGTTATCCCAACCCCACAAGGATGAATCATGATACAGCTTGAACGAGATATCTACTGAGGCTGAACAGACACTATGGGGCATTCTGGCGTCTGGATCACACAAGACACAATCCTGATGGGCCACCAATTGGTTACCAGTTACCAGCAGGAGATTTATTGTGCTGCATGAAATCCCGCTTTTGCCTGCCATTGGTTGCTGCAGCAACGTCCGTCATCAATCCCAGATAACCAACTGTGGTTGACAAACCCCTTGGAATGACTAACTAACTTGGTTCCTTCAACTAAATAGTTACCACCGTCGCGTATGCCGGACCTTTTAAACACAAACTCCGTTCTGTTTCTTATTAGTAGTTTCCGACTAGCTGCCATTCGACTATTTCCCACGACTCTCCTGCTATCCATTTCAAAACTCGCTTTTCTTTATCTTCTTTCTGCACCGTATTCTTGCAAGCGACTGCTGGTTGTTTCGAGTTGATAGCTCTGCGCGAGGCAACGCACGATAACTAAAACATCCAACAACGCCACTATCAGCAAGACCGCGACAACAGATACCACACAATACCATCCTTCCCGCCAGAGAGTGAGTAACCAAATAAATTCCCCTCTCGTTCAGCTGAGATGGCGGTTAATATCCCACCATCTCCTGCTGGCAAGCATGACTTGGGCATCACCCCTCTCCTCCACACCCGATCTGGCAACGAGCTCTGCGATCATCCGCAGACTCCAAATCAATTCGGTTTCACTAGCCCCTTCAGCACACCTCAGGGGAGCCCAAGCAAGAGTCGCATGCCTCCAGGTGCAACAGATCTTCCTGGCGTATTCGACCATGCGATGAAACTCACACCGTCGTCGCCGTCCAAGTCAGCATTCAATGGGCCGTCGTTTTCTCCTGGCAAAAATGTACTACACGGCAGCGAGGATTCAAGCCTCCTGAGTGAAAGTGTGATTCACAGCAGAGACAACGCGAACCAGGCCCGGAAGTCAAATAACGAAAATACACCCCCTAGCGCTCTGCGGTTTGGGAGAGACCCAGCTCTCAATACAAACCAGGCAGCCGTGTCGCGTCAGGAACCATATCAGAGCAGAGAAGCCAGTAAGAAGAGCCAATCTCACCTCCGCGGCCTGACACCAGAGGATCTGGAAAAATTACAACTTCCCAATGTGAAAAGGCTTGCAAATGTCACGCAACTTTGTAAGTTGAAATCCACTGCGTCCTTTGCATTTTCTGGTGACTATTAATGTAAATACTTACTATCCCCTCTTTTCTTCACAACAGACTTTCTCGACCATTACTTTGACATCCTCAGTTACGTGCATAATCGACAGACACGCCACGCACAGTTTAAAGCTGCATACCCTGCTCCCCCAGCCACTCCTGTTGAGGAATACGAGGCAGCTCTAGAAAAGTATCTTGGTCGTGAACGGGCGAATCTGCGCAAACGTCGGACCCGTCTACGTGATAACGATTTCCAAATCCTCACACAGGTTGGGCAGGGCGGATATGGCCAAGTTTACCTTGCCCAGAAGAAGGATACTCGTGAAGTGTGCGCGTTGAAGGTCATGAGCAAGAAGCTCTTGTTCAAATTAGACGAGATCAGACATATCTTGACGGAAAGAGATATCCTCACAGCTGCTAAGAGTGAATGGCTAGTGAAACTTCTCTACGCTTTCCAAGACGAAGATCAGATCTACCTTGCTATGGAGTATGTTCCTGGAGGCGACTTTCGCACACTGCTAAACAATACGGGCGTCCTCCATAATCGCCATGCCCGCTTTTATATTGCTGAGATGTTCTCATGTGTCGATGCACTTCATGTCCTGGGCTACATTCATCGTGACCTGAAGCCGGAGAACTTCCTGATCGATTCAACTGGACATGTTAAATTGACGGATTTCGGATTGGCTGCTGGCTTTCTCAATCCCGGCAAGATCGAATCGATGCGTATCAAGTTGGCTGAAGTTGGTAACACAAATGTCCCCTTTGGTAGACCGATGGAGCAGCGCAGCGCGGCAGAGAGGCGGGAGGGTTACCGCTCACTTCGACAACGCGAGGTTAACTACGCGAAATCAATTGTTGGATCTCCTGATTACATGGCACCCGAAGTTCTAAAGGGAGAGGAGTACGATTTCACCGTTGACTATTGGAGTTTGGGCTGCATGCTCTTTGAGGCTCTTGCTGGATATCCACCTTTTGCTGGAGCAACTGTCGATGAAACCTGGCAGAATCTCAAACGATGGCAAAGTGTTCTGCGGAAACCACAGTACGAGGACCCGAACTATTTTCTGTCAAGACGCACATGGGACCTCATCGTTCGTCTGGTAGCTGCCAAGGAACAACGGTTCAAAAATATCAAGGAGATCCAGGAGCACGAGTATTTCGCTGAGGTTGATTTCTCTCAATTGCGACAGCAAAGAGCCCCCTTTGTTCCCGAATTAGATTCAGAAACTGACGCGGGCTACTTTGATGACTTTGGGAGTGAGGCTGATATGGCCAAGTACAAGGAAGTTTATGATAAACAGAAGGCTCTTGAGGAGTTGGCGGATAGAAAGGAACAAATGGGGAGGGGATTGTTTGTTGGCTTCACTTTCAGGTTCGATTTATACCATTTTCTATCTTTTTGCTTGAGATCACTTCGTGCTGACAATTTTCGACCAGACATCGCAAGTCAACTGTCGATAGTGACGGGCGAAGCAGTCCCAGAAAACCCATCCCCACTGATGGGAGCTTTGGAACCATCATCTAAACACTATCCGTCACACAACACGTTTCTTCACAATACCCAAAAGAAGGCTAATTCTGTCATCGTCACTTTTTACCCTCGGTTTCTTTTCAATGCAGAGCTGGCTCTTTTACTTCCTTCTCCAACTCTTTTTCATCATAATCCCTATCTGATGAAATGCAAAACAACACAGTTGCACCAGCTTCGTTTGATTTGTTTTCTTTTCTATCCTTATCACGGCCCCGCAAACCCCTCCATCGATGGATGCATTTTCGTTTTTTAAGCTAATTTTAATAAGTCAACGATCCCCTCTCAGCTTTTCTAAAAATTGTTCTTTTTTGCCTTGTTTCATTTATCTCGTTACTCCCGGCTATTACCCAGCCCATGCGGGAATAGCTGGTGAGCGTAGGGTCAAATGCCTCTGGCCGAGGGCAAGGCGAGAGACGATTCAAGCCAGTCATAATTTCCCTCATTCCTTGCTCAACTATCGCCGGAGCCTCCACGTTGTCAAAATCGTCTATTTCTAGAAGTTTAACCCTTGTTTTCTATTTTTCCATTTTATATTCCCAGTCTTTTTCTTTCTTTCTTTCTTTCTGGGTGTTATGTGTCCGCACCTCTTGTCTCTCTCGTCATTCCATGGTTCTCTCCTTGTCCATTATCTTAACACCGCCCACGCGCGTACGGGTCCTCTTACCACCAACATCACCGCCACCAATGCAACTACTACCGTACTTCTCCTACCGCAATTCCACTTTTCCTGTATTTTAATGCTTCGATGGTGTTAAATCTGGCCATGAACGCTTTGGCCTTTCAATTTCTTTCCTTTTTCCTCTCTCGAATATCAAACCATTATCGGGTATAATTCCTCCCACTGGTGCCTTGCTATCTCTCCTTTCCTTTCCTTCGGTTACCTTCCCTTCCTTTCTTGCCATTCTGCATGTTCTGCGTTTTTCTGTTGTCTTGCATGGGTGCTTGCTTTTGAAAGTATTTTATACTCCAGTTCGTCCTATGGTCCGGTTTCAAGTTATCCTTTAACTAAGTGGGTTTGCGTCAAAAGTTATATCGTGTCCTTTCTTCCCCCCCCCCCTTCCGGTTTCCTAGCTGTTGCTGCCTTCCCCTGTCTCCTTCTGCCCAGCCTTCTTCCGTCTTAATACATCGGACTCTAAGCATCATGTTGAAAAGAGAGAAAGAGGACGATTACGTATCCTTTATTCAAGGTATAATTAGTTTTCAGATGACTAGAAGCTTGCAGACCTAGATAGTGATTATCAGAGAGTTTCTCTAAGTATTGCAAATGCATGTTGCTCCACACTTTTGCTTAATCACACTATTTTATCAAGGTCCGGCATTATCAATGCAAGTAAAAGGGATACATGAATTTAAATGTGATTAAAGGGGTGAATATTTTTTTTTTTTTGATGTTTCAGTGTGTATGAAATTCCTGAAGATGATATAATGGTAAACAAAAGGGTAGAATTTGATATTTTAGTGTGAAGTAGAAAGCTGTGTATAGTGAAGCTACATGTTTTTGATGACCCAAGATATCAGATAATTCAGACTTCTCAGAAACTCACAGAAAATACCCTCCTCACTTTCTCTCTCTCTTTTATGATTTCTTTTGTCTCATGATTTCAACTTTTCCCCTAGTTTATTCTTCATATTGTTGTAGAGTGTTTAGACAGAGAGTCACATAGACAGCATGTGTTTTATGCATTTGTTTTGATGAGTATATTTTTACAATATCACCAAACGCCCCCTTCTCCTAGCTCCATATAGTACAGAGTACCATAGCCAGCTACGTATATATGGTACATATGTATGGACTCACAGCCTTCTGATATCCCTTCTTCCCGCTCGGCTGTCATACCAATCTGTTCATATTCCTCCCATCAGGACCCCACACAAACCACCCATCTTTGCGGTGGTGGTGGCGGTGGTAGGTTTCGCCATTACTGCGGTGAGACATCCGGAGGGATTTCCCGGACGAGTTTTAGAATCTCCGATTTATTTTCCCCAATGACGGCAGTGCCATTATTCCAATCGACGATCTTAGGAAGGGAGGATAGTTCAGAGATTTTAGCCTAGCCAAACAGCGAAATATCACCTCCTTTCCAGAAAACAAAATTGGAAAAAAAAAAAAAACATTGGGTAAACCAGAAAGGGGAAAGAGAGAGAAAAAAATATATATATATATAAACTCACAACCGGCCTAACAAACCTGCCTCCATCCTCTTTCAATCTCCTCAATGCATCCAACCTATCCTGCGCCCCCTGTACCAGATCCCCCGGTTTCGCCATCGCCGCCCCGCCCCTGGCCTTCCCCACATCCCCTCCCACATCCGCACCCACGTAATCTAGGATATTTTTAAGCTGATCCGGAGTAGGGGGTTCCTCAGTGACATTCAGCTCGAACTCGCAGCGTTGGTTGGGAGAGGTTTCGGATGCTTGGTCGATGGTTGCGTTTGCGGCGGCAGCGGCATTGGCTTGTTTTAGAAGGGCGAGGACGCGGCTGGAGGCGGGGAGGGAGGGTTTGTGGAAGAGGGTTATTACGTCAAGGGTTTTATGCTGACGGCGTAACTAGTGAGTGCAAGATCAAGATGAGGTGGGGACATGATTGGAAAACGTACGAAGCGGAACATTATCAGAATGGTCTTATTATAGTCTTGGGATTTTTGTGCAGTTTCCTTGGTGTAGAGGTTGTAGATGGGTTGGGTTGAGTGGCGGTTGGTGGAATGATGAGAGGCCATACAACTCTAGTTACGTCACGCCAGGGACTGCGCTGATTGGCTAGTTAAGGACCCGAATATACATAGATGATTATCACAGATAGAGGAATTAATTAACCATATGACAACGTATAGAAATCTTAGAAAGATTCGCTGTGCTAAAGCCCTAAAAAGGTGACTAGACAACTAAATAACTAGATAAATGGCTTATAATATTTCAGATGTGTTGACTCCAAAAGATAGCACATGCAAAACAGAATTAAGCGATTAAGAATAAGCCCGGCTCTATCAGCAGGGTCGTTTGATGGCACTTCCTAGTGAATATACACACGGCCAACGTGCATTAAAAGGTGTTGCCGTGGCCAATTCACGATCTACGGTCTTTATATTTATTTTCTTCTTGATTTTGTATATCGATTGGCAGACAAGACTATGACAAACAAGATAACGAAAGCCAGGAACGATGTATGGAGGCCCCGTGGACCCCTATCCGAGACTGCATCTAGTCACGACGATTTAGGCGCACCTTGATTGTCACCCTCAGCTGGAATTACCTTCTCCAGGTATCTCTGCAAATCCTGAATCTCGAGGGGATCTGCTGAGTGGGTCATGCCTCTTGAATCGAAGTTAGAAGCCGTCATTGGCAAGCAATAAAGAAACGATGATAGAGAAGGGTAGTCAAAAACGAAATACGAAGGAAAGGTAACAAAATAGAAGATAGAAAAATGGGTAACCATACGGGTACTTATAAAAATCCACCGTCATCCCTAACTTCCTCAGCTCCTCCGCAGACCCTTCAGCCCAGTCAAGAAGCACCGTAGGGTCTTCATCGCCATGTGCCATAAAAACCGGAGTCTTTTTGTTCGGGAAGCCCTCTGGGATGTACGAAGGGACCTTATCTCTCAACGGCAGATAGCAGGAGAGGCCAAAGATGCCGCCCAGCTTCTCCTTCTGCGTGAGCCCGGTGAAAAGTGACATCGCACCGCCCTGAGAGAAGCCGCCCATCACGATGCGTGACGGCTTGATGCCCTTGTCGATTTCTTGCTTGATAAGCGTATTGAAATAATCGCGTGATCTGAGGATTCCCGGCTCGTCTTGGTTATTGCCAAAATCTTCCACGGAAACCTGCGGGGTTGTAATTTCAGGCGGCGACCCTTTTACTTAGTAATGAAAATTTGGATTTGGGAGAGGAGAGGGGGGCATATAAGAGACAAACATCTCGGCCAAGTTTCTGGATATCGTACCAGCCTGGCATCGACATGCCAAAATTCTATCCAGCAGCAGCAGCAGCATCATATTAGCAAAGGCTTCTCCATAGTACCTGACCAACTGCCGCTCTCCCCGTATTATCACGGATCCCCATGGAATTCCTTACAATCGTGATCGGAATCGCTGGCGCATTTGGGAAGATAAACGAGACTTCATCGAACAAGCCCCGCCGGCGCCAATTTTGTGCAAGCATGAGCCTTTACGTTTTCCCAAATGAATGCGGTTATAGCATTTGAAACTTGTGAGCTTTACATTTCATGTCCTTGCGTTGCACGGATTGAGAAGAAGGGAATTCCCTGTAGTTATGGGAGGTTGGGAGGGGGATAGCGGGGACGGAGAGCGGGACGACCGCGGGGAATTATCGCATACCAGCCAGCACCGCTGTACATCGACGAAGTTAGCCAATAAAATTCTAATGCAACAAATACTTTTTTACACGATAAAGAAAGATACATTAGCCCAAGACGAACCTATCACCCAATCCATGTGCCATTATAACTGTGGCAGTGTGCCTTGTCAGGGCGGGCACGATGATCGGCCCTGATGCAGCCATTGTTTTTTTGGAGTTAAAAATCCTTATAGCAACAGGGTGACTAAAGAATCAATTTGATACAACCGAAGTTGAATAAAATATAGCTGGAATTCGTTCGGTTGATATAACAATCTGTTGGTTGGTTATTTTGCCAACCACCACCGCTTTCGCGCGGAGTCGAGTAATAAACTTCGCAGGGAACCTCGGGATGAAATATGGATTCCTTGGAGCCGCTGGCTCTGGAACTTATCAACGTTTGAAGAATAATTCGAATAGTTCGACATCAACGCTAATATCGAACGAAATTCAGTACGCTTTCAACTCTCTAAATACAATGCAGTCGATTCATCTAGTCATTGCACGTGGCATTTTCTTTACACCTAAGATCTGCCAAAGACGCAAAAACATAGGCCGCCTAATTGTAACACGTATAGAAGAGAACAGGAACAAATGGAAAAATTGGCACGAGAAATTTTAATTAACTAGAGAAGCGCAGCTGCTCCCAAAATCGCCGCACCGAAAACTCCCCACGTAGCAGCTTGCACAGATGCAGCAGCACCCTTGGGCTTCTTCTGATTGCCATCTCCGGATCCGCTCCTTTGCGGCTGTCCATTTGCTGTGGACTCATTCGCGTTGCGGCTGCGAGCGGAGCCAGAGAAGTCCGTGGCGCTGACGCCAGTTCCGTTCTTGCAGGAATTAGAAGGAGCGGAAGCAGTGACTTTTGAGGTGAATACAATGTCTGCGCACTGTTGCCAGGGGGAAGAAAACAAAACTCATCAGCACGGTCCAGAATGCTTCGTGGGTAAAATGCGATGTACAACTAATATTTTGAAAAAAAAAAAAAAAATTACGGGGTCGGGGATAACTCACGTTATACAAACCCCCAGATGGATCCCCATTCGTCACAACCTGCAACGTCGCCTCCAGGCCCTCCGATAATTTCCTCCCGAGCGTCTTCTCGCTAATTTTCACGGTGGGGAGACAGAAATCACCCAGGCCTGTCTGTCCGAACGTCGGAACCAATGTGATGTTAAAGTTCGTGCCTGGATCCGACCCAAGGGCCAGCAGGACCTGGACGGCGCTGCGGTCGTGGCCCATCTTCAGGGCGATGGAGATCTCTGGGCCTGAGAGGGCGACTTGGGTGCGGTTTTTGGAGGGGGGCAGCCCGGAGCATGGGTATTGGGTGCTTTTATCATGGTTGCTGCCACGGGAAGGGGGTTGCAGGAGATCGAAATGGGCGGATGTGAGGGTGAGAAGGCCGGTTAGGGGTAGAAGGGTGGTTTGGAAGCGCATGTTTGCTGTTGGCGGTGGTTATGTCGTGCTTTCGTGATAATGAGTTAGGAAGTGGGTGGTCCCGTTTGTGTTTGTTCAACTTGAGGCCGTGGGTTTTCTCTCTATGTGGATATGAGAAGCTGTTAGATATGAGTCTCAGTTAAGAGCGGACTCCAACGCGAACTTGCGTGGGAATAAAACGATCCTGTACATACAGCGTCGACAGGGGGGGGGACAGTTTCTTTCTATGGTCCAAGAGCAGCGACTCGCAGGACAACAATATCAATCCAAAAGCGGGAAAATATAAAGGATAGTAAGTATGCAGGTATTTGCCACTACAATTTCAAGATCAAGGTAATGTTGCAAAGTATACAGCAAATGCGTGGGGGATTCCTTGATATTTTAAAGAAAGCAACATCAACTCTACACTGGTAGCTCTCAACACGCGGCGGGCGAGTGGGGACCGGCACGAGCTGTTATCTCTTCCCGGCTTAATGAAGCCGACATGGGCAGTCCTGACAGTGACGGAGCTAATCTCCTGAAGTCAAAGTTGATGCTATACCTTAGCTTGCGCAGTACATATCCAACCCCCCTGGTTTCCCAATATGTGCTAAATAATACGCGCATTACTAGTATCATCTCTCATCCACGAACATCCGGAGATTGATGTGATACTTCTATAAATTATAAATGCCCTTGAGTGCAACGAGAGCTAAGAAATAGCAGGCATCCGTGCTTCGTTGCGCATGACGATGAGAATAAAAGGTCGAAATTCTCCCGAAATTTGGCCAGAAACTTTCCCCCCCTTAAGTATCAAGATCAAGATGAAAAACATCAAAAGCAAAACTCTATCAAGCAAAAACACAATAATAAACCCCACAGATAAAGAAAACAAGAAGTGAAATAAAAAATAAAAAAAAAAAAAAAAAACAGGAAAAATAGAAAAGAATGAATGAAAGAAATCGACATCTAAAGGCGCTAAACAATCTGCTCAATTCTGCGCAAAAAGGAAAAGAAAAAAAGAAAAGAAAAGAAAACTGGCAACTTGTGAACTCTCCAATCGAACCCGCCCCGCAGATCTGGGCATGTCCTTGTACTGTGGGGGGGGGGGGGGAGCAAGCAGGATGTATCCCCTTGGCCCCATTCCGGAGTTATTTAGTTCCATAGAGGGAGGGCAACCCCGTCTACATTATTACCCTTCAGTATGACTCCGCGGCCAAAAATATAATATTCTTATGTAGCTTCATGGATCCCTTCCATGACTGTGCAAATCGTCAAAGCCATACAGTAACTCCGCGTATCGTCGATCGTCGATCGCCGAAACCCGAGACCAAGATAACTTTCTCACACCAACAGAGAATCTCTGGACGCATTATTGGCCATTGACGCAAAAATGCCTCTGAGCTGGCTGGGGTCGGGCAACGGTGAGGACGTTGGTAAACTTATAGTCATAAATTTATATATGGTGGTGTAGGAACAATACAAGAACGATGCGCTACTTTCATAAATGAAGGGGGAAATAACATAACTGTCCCTACAGATCATGTAACTTGATCTGTCATGTACTCTGCTAAGCCAATAATTAAAAGCTATCATTGGCGGTAGAATATGATGGTGTGAGCATAAAATCACAAGTGCCTTCGCGCAGTACAAATTAAAAATGAATCAGCAATCCAACTAGTTACCTGTTAATCTAATGCTCATTGAAATGGTTATATCGGCCCAGCGCAACATCTCCAACGAACACGCCAGCAAGAACGGACATGAAGTAGCCAACATTCATCGTCATGACAGCCAGCATGCTGTAAATATCACAGTTAGTCCCCAACATCTACCATTACAGAAACATGCACACAAAACAAAGAGAGGTTTCGATATATTTATAATGAAAGGGGAAAAAAATAAAAATAAAATAAAAATAAAAAATAAAAAATAAAGGGGAAACTCACAGCAAATACCCCACTCCAGCAGTAACCATAACCAACAAAGCCCTGGGTAAATCGACACTAAACCTCCACGGCGCAGTCTGCCCCTTCAAATTCGCCACAACCCTAACCTTCTCCTCGACCCCATTCGCCGAAACCAACGTCCCCGTCGACGCATTGGGGTCCATCTGTATCCGTTCCGCCGCTGGAAGCTGGCCAGCGACCACGACGTAGCGGCGGGACATCGCCGCGGCGGCCCACCGGTGTTCCAGCATGGATTTGGCCGCAAGTAAGGCGCGGAATATAACGGCGAGGACGATGAGGAAGATACAGGTGCCTGCGTACGTCCCTGCGGATCTTGGGGTCCAGTCGTTAGAGTAGAGGGGGGTTGCCTGGATGGTTTGGAAGACCATTGCCATGGTGAGTTCCATGATTGAGTGTGAGAAAGAGGAGGAGGGGCTTGGAGTTGTGCTTGTTGCGGCACCGTGGGAGTCGCCGTGGGGAGAAGGAGACATCTTTATTTTATTTTATATATATATGTTTCGGGTTGTATTGTATATTTCCTCCCCCCTTTCTTTTCAGCCCTTGCTGGCGATCTCTGTTCGTAGTTATATATGTTAGGGATATATATGGGTCGTATCTCGTAATCGAGGAGGTGGATATAGATTCCTTTTGTGAATAGAGCAGATGGATGAAATGGGGGACTTCCAGAGCCCACTTCTGATAAAGATTCTTTTTGATTTATTTTATTTTATTTTTTTTTTCGTTTGCCTGAACCAATTGCTTGATATTATTGTTAAAAAGGGGGGGTGTAGATATGAGCCCATAGGGGAGAAGTCGGTGAATGCAGATTTTCCCACCCTTAGGCACGGCGGTCTTGCCCTTCCTTTTTAAAATGACGATATGAAAATTAGCCAAGTCGTTATATCCCTGACTTCAAACAGCCGCGTCCGGAGGATTTGTTATATCTGACAGCTCTGGCGGACTGTATGCAACAGGTCGCGAAGACTTTCATGCGATGCGGGAATCGGACCCAAGTACCTGGGGCGGCCATTGGCCATGCAGCACATACTTGGGGGATCGGGGGGATTCTGCAGCATGTTTTTTTGCCTCTCCAGTTTCAACCCACGAACCAAACGCCCACTGTGCGTGCGGGCCCAAAACTGGCGTAGACTCATCCAGACGCCCTCAGTCTCAGCTTTTTGTCTATATGCCACCCCACTTGAGCTCAGCTCCGTATGGGCAGCTAGATTCGACGGCATCCCGCCAGAGCCAAGTGTCCAGGTTTCGATCCGCGCTTGAGCAGATTATTCAGATCAAGTCAGGGATCCATCGAAGCCAAGAGTCCCGCCGATTTGTGCAAACTTCTAAACCCAGGTTTTTTTTTTACTAGGGCGCACCGCAAGCAGTTGCAGGTATTGTTCATGGCTGGCCATTGCTCCCGTGTTTTCTCTAACATAGAGAGGGCTGGTACACAAGGAAAATATAATAAATATAATAGCACATCAAGATATAAAATACCTGTTGCGGGGATTCAGGAAACTTTACGGGACGCCGCGGCAAACCACGGCCTCGTAAAAGTTCTCTGATAATACCTGCAGCTGCACTCCTCCGTGCCTATAATTTTTTTTACATCTTCTTGCTACTTCGCATGATTTGATGGATGCCTTCTTTGGTCGAAATCCGTAGTTATGCAATGAGAAAACACCTCAGAACGACATGGGGTGAGGTCGAGTGTTTCTATCTCTGCATAGTAGAAGAAGAAGAAGAAGAAGAAGAAGAAGATAGAGATAGAGAATATTTAAGGAGACACCTATCTACTAGGCAGCTTTCTTGCCAAACGATTTCCTCCAGGTAAACCACGAACAAAGGAGCAAAATGTCTCATTCAGGCCATTCGGCACCGTCGGGCGGGGGCTCAAGCGACGGCGCTCCCAGTTTCTTTTACATGCAGGAGATGTACTGGGCTGTCGTGGGAATGGCTGTCGGCATAGCTACAGTGGCTAATATCCTCAACAAGGTGGTAGCAGTTCAAAGGCGAGTTATGCGGAGTTCCTTTTCCCTATCCGCAACCCCGGGTTCTATTCAATGCGCTAACTAACAATATGAGACGGGCCAGATTTGCGGACTCAAGCCTGACACCGTCCAAGCCCAAATCTATCTTCTTCAGCACATATGCCACTCTCACTGCTCTGACAAGAGAGGCCTCCAATGCAACCCTTGGCTCCGCAACCATCCGCTCTGTCAAGTTACATTTCCCCCCCCTGGGGCCCTTACTGATGATGCTGGCCAATCTAGTCGTCGTGCTAGTCCTCTGCTTCTACAAACTCGACACGACAGACCAATGGAGCTGGGAGACCGTCGGCTATCGCACGGGCTTCATAGCAATCGCCCAAATGCCTCTAGTCATCCTCCTCTCCAGCAAAGCCAACATCATCGGCCTCCTGACCGGGTCGAGCCATGAGAGACTCAACTGGCTCCATCGATGGGTTGCACGGACCCTGTGGCTCACCGCAACCATCCACATGGGATTTTGGTTCCGCTCCTGGGACAGATATGATTACATCGCACTGAAATTGAAGGAGGATCCACTTACCCAGCGCGGATTCGCTGCTTGGTGCATCTTGACATTCATCGTCCTGGTCTCCGTGGCACCGGTGCGGAAACTCAGTTATGAAATTTTTGTCGCGGGGCATCTGCTTACTTTTGCCGGCTTCATTGCAGCGCTTTGGTACCATGCGCCCGACGAGGTGAAGGAATGGGTTTGGATACCGGTTGGATTGGTCGTTGTTGATCGAATCGCCAGATTTGCCTTGGTATTACACGGCAACTTGACTATTTTTCATTCGCGTGTAGATGATTCACCGTCCAGAGATCTATGGGCTAATCATGCCACGTTTACCCCCTTACCTGGAAATGTCACAAGAATTACGGTCCCGAATCCTGTGATATCTTGGAAGCCGGGGCAGCATGTTTTCATGTCATGTCATGGCCTGGTTCCGCTCCAAAGCCACCCTCTCAGCATAGCTTCGATTCCTGCGGATAAGAAGCTAGAGTTCCTCGTCCGTGCCCAAAACGGAGCCACTGGGAAGTTTTTCGCCCATGCTTCAAAATGCCTTCGCATCGTAGACAACAGAGACGATAATTCTGACAGTGTAAAACGAGTTGGCGTGGAGGGTCCGTACGGAAGAATACGCCCGCTGCGACAATTCGACAGTGTGGTACTGCTTGCGGGAGGGATGGGTGCTACATACACCATGCCATTGATGCGGGATACTGTGGAAGCCTGGAAAAATGAATTCCTGGAAAAGTCCTCCCCACGCACATTACCTCTGTTTTCTTCTCCCTCACGGTCACTAACTAAACGGATCCGGTTTGTTTGGGTAATTAGATCCCGATCACTGCTAAGTTGGTTCGCGGAGCAAATTCAAGTTGCGTTGCAGGATATAGATGCATGCCGACAAAGCAATCCGGCATTCGACAGAGAACTCCAGGTCAGTGTCTATGTCACTTGCGATGAGGAGATGTCTTCGACAACAACAACAACAACAACAACATCCAAATCGCAATCACTGCCGCTCGCACAGCCGCAGCTCACAATCTCCATTCTCGAGAAATCCGACGGTGTCGAAAAACAAGTCCAGGATAAAAGCATCGAAACCATTTCCATACACTCTGCCGCAAAAACGGAACGATCCGATTCTCAAACGGCGGCTCAAAGCTGCCAGCCAGATGGCGGGTGCTGCTGCACGCGCAAAGTCATGGACGAAAATTCCTCCTTTCCGCCCTGTCGCTGCTCTTATCCATCTCCCACACCATCAAAACAGCCAATTCCCCAGGGAAATCCAACCCACACTTCAGACTCGTTACCATCCTCACCACAAACATCGCAAACACCTCCGCCACCATTACAACATGAACCTCAAACTCCCACCACACACAAACACCTCTCCAACCCAGTTCCCAACTCAGAACTAGACCTTGACCCACGCATCCGAATCCTCTCCGGCCGCCCCGACTCGCGCGGCATAATCCGTAAAGTCCTCGAGCTTGGGGAGGGCGAAAGCTCCGTTGTCGTATGCGGCCCGCGCGGGCTGAATGCTGATGTACGCCGGATTGTTGTGTCGCTGAGCGATGAGCGGGCGGTGCATAAGGGGACAGGGGCTCAGGGGATCTATTTGCATGTTGAGAATTTTGAGATTTAAGACGTTGGATTTTGGAATGGGTATTGCGAACTTTGATTGTGTGTGGGTTTTCATTATGCGATACCACCAGTAAGGGGTCGCGTGTTCGTTATCTGCGCGTGAACATTGTGTGGGGAAACTTCAAGGGACGGGCCCGTCTACCATTAGAGGGTAGAAATGGCGAATTTCACTACATAAAAGGGACGGGTTGGATTATATCCATCTGGGCGTCGTGGGGTACGAACGAAGGATAGATTGGGATCGTTATATTAACTTTCTCAGCTTTCATAAGAATGTAATGAGAAGTCAGATATCCCGTCAAGAGATACGGGATTTCCTTAGTTCCACAACTGAGGGCCAACATGCAAGTTGAGATATTAAATCTCTGTCAAACGAGAAAACCGATTTCTTCAGGCAGTCCAATGTCAACCTGTGTATTCTCGATTATCTAGTCATTGATTCTAGATCTAGTTTTAGCATTAGCGTACCTCAATCCGGAGTTAAGGTGGCAATGATATATGTACGTCCGCCATCCGGCAAAGTGAGGTATATATGATCGCCAGAGAACCCTAATGACTAGTCAGGGGAGAAGCTGAGATCCCAAGGATCCATAGGGCTTAATAGCCCCTATTACAAAGGTGCTAGTCCAATCATCTTCATACCGAAGCTCCGCTCCCTATAAAAAGGAAGCCCAATCCCCTACATGATCTGTATTTCTCTTTCCTCCCTTAACGACTTCGTTCTGTTTTCACACGTGTTAGTTATTAGCTGTTCTCAGCGGCTAGCCTGTGACAACTAATAAATATAATAAAATTTGAACTATATTTGGGGAAAAAAATTTTGTGTGAAATACTAAAGCTAAGAAATCTTGATAAATAGAAGATATTTTAAAAAAGATCATATAAATCAAATGAAACAAGCAGTCACTGATTTTGATTACATAACTTCTGAATTGATCACACATTTAACTAGATATAAAATAGATCTTATAATCTGATAGAATAGCAAGCTTGATCAATTTCAAAGATTGCCAACTACAAGAACAACTATAATGGAAAATAGATTATATGACAAAAGAGTTTGATAATTTTATTACTTGAACAGTCAATTGAATGAAGTCTATCTTCATTCATTTTATCATACAATATTAACTGTGCAAGATTGTATAGTAGAAATAGAAGATTACATACTAAAGAGATTTACTGACTGTATAAATTCTAACTAATCTTATATAATTTATAAGAAAATCCATTAACAGTTATTAGTTGTTGATGTGCAGGCAAAGCTTTGTGTTGTTTCTCTGAGCAATCATCTCACATGTGATTCTGTCTACTAGTTACATAGATTACAAGCTTCTTCATTCAATATAAAATTGATCATCTTTGATGCGTACAAGCAATTGAATAGGTAGGATAAATCATGTCTGATTCTCTTCTAATAAAGATGGGCAAATGCCCTGCTATATATATACACACTATAATCACTCTATATGGTAGGAGCGATTGCATAGGATAGGAAATATAGGAAAGATTGGGGCCTCTGAGTGGATTAGGGAGGGGCGAATAGAGAGTGGATACTAATATAGGAAGGGGCGGAAGAATAGGGGAAGGGGCGGAAGAATAGGGGCGGAACGCCACAATCTTATAGTTTTCTTCATTATTCTATATTACAGCGCAGCCGCCTGTAATATGGATTAAGGTATCCCCTCGTCCGTCTTTTGTTGCACAATTAGCGTGGTATCACTAGGCGTAAAATAAAGGCATTTGTCAGCATGTCTCAACCAATAGGTTCACGCACTATTTTGTATGGGCTGCTATTGGTCACTACAGATCCACACTCGCGATTTTCGTGTAAGCAGAAAGCGCGTTGAGAATTCAAACCTACCTACATGCCTAGCCCTATCCACCTGCAAATATGGAACCTACAGGGAATTCAGATGATTTTCTAGAATCCTGATCTTAATCTATGCATCAAATAACTAATATATTCTCTAGAATCTATGAAAAAGCCAGGTAGAACCTCTACAAAGTGAAAATGAGCAATTGAGGAAGTCATTGCAGAGATACCACCTCTAGAATCAGTCAAATTTCTTCCTTTAGAACCTAGTTCACGGCTGTCAAATCTTCATATTCCATCAGATATTGATGTTCAAAGCCCCTATGCCTTATTTACCTTATTCTTCTCTGAAGATTCCATTCATAATATTGTCAATTCAACCAATCTCTATGCAAAATTGAAGGGAGATGATGGAGATACTGATAATGAAGCTCCAGAGAGCTTTGAGAAGAATAAGAAGAAGAATAAGAAAGAGGAAATCCCTATGAAAGCTTCTGCAGAACCCTCTATATTTATGGAAACATCTAAGGAATTGAAGACCTCTATTCAGCAACATCCATGGAAAAAGACCACTTCAGAGGAAATAAAGGTCTTTTTAGAAGCTCTTATCTATATGAGGATTCATAAATCCAGCTGGACTGATCATTATTGGAGGAATAATCTGAGAGAAGGTCCTATTCATTCAGTTCAATTCTATATGACCTTGAAACATTTTGAGCAAATCAAGCACTATTTTCATATATTCAATCCTTGAGAAGCTTACCAGCCAGATTCTAAGAATAAAGATTGGTGGTATAAGATAGAGCCTTTGGCTTCCAACTTCCATAATGCCTGCTGGAAATATTACACCTCTGACTCAGAGATTTCCATTGATGAAATCATGATTAGATGCTTTGATTGAAGTCAGCACACATATAAGATGCCTGCTAAGCCAATTCCTCAGGAATATAAGGTCTTTGAACTAGTAGAACATGGATATCTTTGGACATTTTCCTGGTCTAGCTGCCAGCAGGGCATAATGTCTATGTTTCAATTTCCAGGAATTACCAGAACTGAATTCATGGTCATGAATATGATTCAG